CCTCTGAATCTAGTGATCTACTAAACATGGCTATCACTCAAGGCCTGTCCCCGCTCCCCACAAAATATAACAAAGGTAGTTTTAAAAATATCTCTATTACACTGGTTAATTTCAGAAAAAGAACTAGCTTCCTGTCCACCTCCACAACCCTCTTCTCCTACTGAGGTATAAATGTGACTTCCCCTAGTTCTCCTTACCTGAGAAAACCATTGCACAGAAAACAAGTAACTGGGGGAGGATACCCAATAGCTCCCATTTGTTACTAATATAATCACTACTTAACTCTGATATTCTAAAAGCCTTTTTCAAAAGGCAGTTATAACTTAAGTGCTTTTATTCTTTGCTGCAGCCAAATCAACCTAAAATTTCTCATTAAAGACATGGTTACCTAGCTCTGATCCCACTCTCAATCTGTGAGATGCTGTACCCACTCTTCTACCACCTTACAAACAAGGCTTAACTTTGACCTATGATTGCTAACATTTATTGAAGATCCTGAGCCAGGCATTATTCTACAGGTACTTGTTCATTTAATCCCAACAATCCTAATGTAAGCACTATTATCCCTTTTGTAGGAAGAAAGCCTTCTCAATGCCCCAGTGAGACTCTTCACTGTAAAATATCCCAGCAGTGGCCAACAAATTAATGGCATTTATTACCTGTGAGCTTTAGAGTTGTTCCTTTTAAAAATCATTTTTAGGAAGCATCTTTTCAGTGCCTGATACAGTAACAACTGAAAACCTAACCACTAACCTCTCCCCTCTTTTTAAGTCAGTGATCTGTTTCACCAGGGTTCTGGTTGCCAAGATACACTCAAGTTATCTTAGAGTAGGGCATTTATGTTAAAAGTCTTTGAAATTTTTCTTTTTTGGGCCCAAACATTACCAATACATAATCTGTATTATGAAAATGAGTTGAGGTACTTGCTCTGTCAAGTACAAATAGCTAATTAACTTAATTATGCTGAGGAAGTGACAATTTTGTAGTTTTCTTTTTTAGTAACTCCATTGATTTCTTTAAGTGAAGGTCCCATAGCCACTTAATTTGTGAGTACAAATATGTTTTGCGACTTCAAATAACACTAAGACACAGGATGATCTATCAGTTTCTACCTTTAATTCAAATATTAGTATTACTTGCCAGGCAACTAAGTTTTGAGGACACTGAAAACACAATCTCCAGAGAAACATAGCCATACCAATGATACTAACCACTAACCTTTTTTTCAACTTTGTGTTGCTAAATAGGAGTTAAGTCTCCACAATTATAATATTCATTTTTGTGAACGATTAAGAGTGTCTTTAGGCATTCAGAGAGAGAAAACTTGGCTGTCTTTTCTCTTTTCAATGAAAAAAACAAAACGATAACCTTTCAAAATATTTATGCAGGTTTTATTATTATTATTATTTTTTACTACTGCTAACATTATCATTTATAGTTTGGGACCCATTTTCAAAACCAAGTCTTTTCAGTTATGCTATGTATGCAATCTGTAACTAGATCAATCACCCAAATTTCCTAGTACACAGTTAATGAGTATTTTCACCACTGCCCAGTGACCCATTTTTTTTATATATATTTTATTGATTTTTTACAGAGAGGAAGGGAGAGAGATAGAGAGTTAGAAACATCGATGAGAGAGAAACATCGATCAGCTGCCTCCTGCACATCTCCTACTGGGGATGTGCCTGCAACCCAGGTACATGCCCTTGACCGGAATCGAACCTGGGACCTTTCAGTCTGCATGCTGACGCTCTATCCACTGAACCAAACCGGTTTCGGCCAGTGACCTATTTTTATGCAAGTGACTGGCAGTCCACTACAGTTATGAAGAACATGAGCTTTATACACAAGTCTCCAAAAAGCAATGCCAACACTTAATTACAATCCAATATAATATTTACTCCAATATAATCCAATATAATCCAATATAATATTTACTCTAAAATCACCCAAATCACACAAGAAAACTCTAGCAATGTTACTGTTAGAAATATACTTGTGTAATCTTCCTCCATTTTTCTAAAATGACTGGTAAGTATACTCTGGTAAGCCTAGTGGTTAAGTTTGTGGACTTATCACCTCAGCCATTAACATCCTAACCATGGTATGTCATAAACAGTTGCTGAGCCTGGTCAAATTGAAAGCATATAATTAATAGAGCATTCAAAATAAAACACAACACCCGTTCAACCTGTAAACATGTTTAAAAAGATTTATTTTTAAAGAGAGACTACTGCATACTAGGCACTGAATACAAGTCTTGAAAGAGCCAGGAACGCTATTCTGGGCTAGCCCACTCTTACTCTAAATACAAAAAAAACCCCACACAAAACCTTAAAGATGAGTCCTACTTTATCCACTTAGTATGGAGGATACTGAGACAGTAAGAAATAGAATGATTCCTACGGAAAAAGTTACAAACGTATGCCTAAAAGGTTACTTCCGGGACAATAAAAGGCTGCCTCAGGAACTTCCCGAGTTCCCGGACACCACCACCCACGTGGTTCTCCCTGGGCTCAGCATTCCGGCCCGGCCCGGCCCGGCCCAGCAGAGAGAACACCCCGGAGCGAGCCGCACCCTCAGCCCGCCCCCAGGGGGGCGGGGCCAGCACGACAGTCACGTGGGCGGCGCGCGGCCGCCATCTTGCTGGGCGGGGGCGTTGGCGGGGGCGGGGGCGCCCCGCGGGACAGGCCCCCATCGCCCCGGGCGGGTCCGCGGCCGCGCCAGACCGCGGGGATCTACGCCGAGCCGCTGCGCTGACGCACGAAGGACAAGCGAGATTCGGGAGCCTCTCTGCACACCCCAAGGTGAGCACTCCTCCTCGGGAGCATCGGCAGAAGGTCGCGGGGTGGACTACAGGAAAAGGGGATTGAAAGCAATCCACCCCCATCAGCAGCTCTGGAGTGACAGCTTGCAAGCAACAAAAGCGGAAATGTCTTCAAGGCCAGAGCATGCCACAGCTGGGGGCCTCGGAGTCCATGCTAGCAGCAGAAAATGCGAGGTCGTAACAATTTAACGAGACGCAAATGACTGCAAACAACTACTGGAGAGAAAAGTAGCACACACCACTAGTGTCTAGAAATAGCCTTCAGCGTCACCTGTAGGCCGTATCCCCTATGATTTGTTCCCCCACTTTAGCTCATGGCCACAGCACTGGGCACTGCCTGACAGGGAACCAAGTGCTGAAATTAATGGCAGCATGCCCAGCCTCACTTTCTCCACTCCTCCCGGCACTCACTGGATGCCAGGAAAGGCACACACTGCAGTCAAGATAAAAATCGCATTACTCTGGTGTGCACGCATCTCCTTCTTGTCTAGTCGCCTTCCAACACTTGCGTGACAAGCAAAATTTAAAGGAAAAAAGACTCCCAGCAGTTAAATCTCAAATAGATTAGTTGTAATGATATGAAAGGAATGATACAAACGGTTTCCATACTAGCATTTTCATTAAACTTACAATCTAAGGTTATCTTTACAATATAAGCTATACCAAGAAATTTTTTAAAAATAAAAGTATTGCTCCTGAGTGCAGGCTTTCTTTTCTAAATTTAATGGCAGTGCATATGGAACTCTTCTGAATTATTGTGAGTAGGCTTAAGAATTGAGTTTTTACCACCAGTATACACAGCTGCATGATACCAGTAAATAAACATTTGAAGATAAAATTTCAAACAAAAAAATTAGACATTACATCTGAGTTTGATATTGTATCCTAAAACTGAGTTAGTTACCTCACAGTAGCCTCCTTTTTAAAAGGAGAGGCTCAGCTTAGATTAGCACTAAGTATCTTCAGCCCCCCAATTCAGATATAGGAGTTAAATTAACTTTCAAGCAAGGGGCGGGGAAGGGCAAAAGCAAAACTCCCTTTCCAGTGTACCAGCCTGGAAACCGCCTACGTTGAAAAGTAAGGCGTCCAATTTAATACTTTTTAAGTAATTGTGAACCACGAAAACAAACTCTTACTGTACATAGTTTTTACTCTAACTGAAACCGCCTCCCTTCTCCTTCACTAAATTGCCATGCTCAAGAACTTTATATGGGGTCTATATTATCATTAAATTACTTTCATAGCTCTATAAAAATTTCATCTTCCTTAATATTTGCCACAAGTGACTCTGGACTCTTGTCTACTACATTTTGGTGTTTAATAACTTTAGAAAACAACACTTACGCCTACAGTAAAGGCCCAACAAATATTCCCAGACCCAAATCTGGAGACACGACTCAAGCCCTTTGGAAAGCAGGTTATGCCAGAGATAAAAGTATAACCAGCTCACCTTAGGAGAGCTTTCCCTACGCAGACAAGGAGCGCTACTCCTTAACTAGCGCTACTCCTTAACTAGTTTGAGTCAATTCTCAGATTTCCACTTCAGATTTCGTTCAAATAACTCGGAAATCAAGTTATTTGAAAGGGGGCCATAAGCCCCTTAGGACCCCCTTGTAAGTCAGGCACACACTGAACAAAACGAGCCCCGGTGTGGCAAGGCAGGGCAGCACGCGGAGCGCATCTCAGGACCCTTGGCCAACGGGTACGGCAGGGCTTTAAGACGTGCAAGCAGAGCGCCCACGAGAAAGGCAAGGCACTGCCCACGGCCAGGCTGCGGTCGCACACCGGCTCCTATAGCGTTTCGTTTTCCTGGCATCTAGGGCCCGAGGGATGCTCAAAGCCAGAAATGTCCAGAGACCCTTCATCCTAGAGGGGACTCGGGCTGAGTGCACCACGTTTTCCGTGGCGATTCCGTTACGGAAGAGACTTCTAGAGTATTCTGCTATGGCGGGTGCCTGTGAATGCGGGGAGGGGGGGGGGGGGGAGTGGAACTGCGGCGGCCCAGCAAAACGAAGATGAGTACTCCGGGGCTGGAAGGTACTACATGGCGGGGAATCCGAGACACCTGCGCCCCCGGGCTCAGGCTCGGCCTAGTGGTGCCCCAAACCCAAGCCGGGGACCCGCCTGGCGTGACTGCCCCGCGGGAGCTGGGAGGATCGCGCGCCCTTACCTGGGCCCGGGGGCCAACAAAGTTGCATGGCTCCACCTCCACCTCCGCGTCCTCGGGGCCCCGGCGGAGCGCGCTGCGGAGCCTCTCCAGGTGCTCCCGCAGGGTGACCCGCTGGTGGAAGGAGAAGGCCGGGTGCAGCGAAGCCATGGTGAAGAGCAGCAGCAGTTCCTCCTGGGCCCTGAAGCCCAGCCCATCGCCGGCCCGGGACTCGGCGCCGCTGCCTTCCGGGCCGGAGCCGTCCTTCTCGGCGTCCTCCTCGCCAACCCCGTCCGAGCCGTGCTCGCCGGGCTCGTCCTCCGCGTCGCCCCGGGCCGCGCGTAGGCTCTTGAGCACCGAGTCCACCTGGGGCAGGAGGCGGTGCAGACGGCCGGCGGCCTCGCGGTTCTCCGAGCCCAGCAGAGCCAGGTAGACGATGAGCCGCGAGCGCACGGCGGGCTCTCGGAAGTCGGCCAGGGGCCCCGGATCCGAGAGGCCGTTGGCCTTGGCCTCCGAGTCGCGCAGGTAGTGGTAGTCTTTGCGCGCCAGGTCCTCCAGGCACGAGCCCAGGAAGCGCAGCTCCAGCGGGTTGCACAGGTCCAGCAGCCCGCACATGAACTCCAGGCGCTGCGCCGAGCCCAGCACCAGCCCAAACCACTCGTACACCCGCTCCTGCTCGCGCAGCGCCGCCGCGGGGCCGCCGCCGCCCGGCATGCCCGCCCCCGCCGCCGCTCCGCCAGCAACAGGCGGCCCGAGCCCCCGGGGCGGCGGCGGCGGGTGGCCCCGCAGCGGGCCCGCGGGAGGCGGGGGGCGGCAGTCGCGGCGGCGGCGCGGCGGCGCCTTAGCTCCCGGCCGCGCATCCGCCTCGGGCTCCTCCGCCTCGGGCGGCGGCTCCGCGGGGTGCGTCGGCTTCAGCGGCAGCTTCATCCTCAGCATCCTCGGCTAAGGCGGCGCGGACATGCGAGCGGGGGCGGGCGGAGGGGCGGGGGCCGAGGCGCGGCCCGGCGGTCAGAAGCGGGGCTCCCCCATGCCGCCGGGGGAGGGTCAGGGGCGGGTCTCCGCCGGCGAAGGGGGCGGCGGCCGGCCGGCGAGGTCGCTGGCGTCGTCTTCCCGGGCCAGAGGCGGGGCGTGCCCGCGGCGGCTCCTCCTCCCGGGCTCCGCGCCGGCTCAGGGGGCCCGGGTGCGGGTGGGAGCGAGCGAGCGTGTCTTCCTTCCACCTCCCTCGGTCCCGTCGTCTTCACCGTGCTGGGTGCGGTGACGCCGGAGCGGTTCCCTTACGAGCTAGTGCGGACCCAGCAGCTGGGAGAAGAGGAGGGGCGGCCGGTCCGGGCGGAGGCGCTTGCGGGCTTCGCGCAGGCACCTCAGCCAATCACTGGTCCCAGCCGACGGTTGCGTTGGCTCTCCCCGCCCCCAGGGCCCGCCTCTCCCTACGAAGCCACGCCCAACTGCTGCCGGCCGCCTCCCTCCGGGCCGTTTCCGCGTGGTCTTAAAAGTCTAGTTGTTGGCGGCCGGTGGGGGGACACGGGTGTGATGGTGGGGCGGCTGGGTGAGCCGGAGCGGGGCGAAGGGCGTGCGAGGCGCACGTGAGAGGAGGGAAGTGGGGAAGTCCATCTTCTCCTCGGGCCCCCACCCCACTTTTCACTCCTGATTCCCCTGCTCCGCCTGCTCGCTTGGGCCGCCGCCCCACCTCCGCCAGCGCCGCGTGAGCCCTCGCGGTCGCGGAAGCCGGGTCCGTCTCAAGTGCGCTCGCTGGCCCAGCTGGAGTCGTTCTGACCGCCGCCGCCTGGCCGGCCGCCTGGGAGTCAGCAGTGGGACATTTCCCGCTGCAACTTCACCTGGATCGGTGGTTCTGCCTCGGTGTTGAGGATCGCGGGCCTGGGACTGGAGGCAGGGGCGTGGCCGGGCGGGGGGTGGACACCCCGATCCCGAGCGAGCGCCCACGCCTACTGCGGGCTGCACCGAAGGCGGTGGGGCGCGACCCAGGGGGCGCAGAGGTGACCCGACCGACCCGAGGGCGAGCCGCGGCTTCTGCGCCGAGAGGAACGCACTGGTGTGGCCGCCCTGGCCTAACGGTGGCCTCTGGTCTGTAACGCTCTTTGGGAATTATTCCCACAGTTTATAGCAAACGCCCCCTCTAGACCCTCTCCATCTTTTGGGAATCATTTTATTTGCCAAGTAATATTTCTTTTAAATTTTAATTAAAGGGGATCAGCGAATGAGGCTATTACAGGAGGGGGCAAACGGGGTAGGGTTTTTTTTTTAAGATTTTTTAAAAATTGGTTTTTAGAGAGGGAGAGAGACGAAACATCGCTGAACATCAATTGGCTGCCTCCTGCAAGCCTCCCACGGGGTGGGGTGGGGTGGGGTGGGGTGGGGTGCGGGCGGGGATGGAGCCCGCCACCCAGGCACGTGCCCTGACCTAACCGGCAACATTTTGGTGCAGGGAGGACCCAATCAACGGAGCCACATTGGGTGGGGCCCGAGTAGAAATTCTGTGGGTGACACTGACATTTTGAATTCTCTGCCGGTGTGAATTCCCTGTGACTCTAGGAAGGTAAGAACCTTGGCTGGCTTTTAAAGTTTAAAGAACTCCAAAATATATCACTGGCACCGCCTTTTTAAAAAGCTATATATTTTTAAGACCCAACTGGACCTGTTGAAGATTAATTTTAAGTGGTGGGTTTTAAAAAAATCCTTAATGTTTTTAAGTTAAGAAGTCCTACTATGGCTACATAGTAGGCGTATGTAAAAAAGTAAGAATGACATTGATACTCTTTTTCTAAAATGTGGGACATCTGTTGTGGGAGAGCCTGTGTTGAGTCCTCCTTATCGCACAACTTCATGCCTTGAGAAACTAATTTATAATTTAGTAAAAGGCTGAACTGAAGCCTACATCAGTTTCATTGGTAAATGGGGAGATAAAGAATTATTTTCAACACATTTGAGATTGGCAAATTACTATGTGAAAGCCATTCTTTCATGTAATTTGCCATTCCCTTGCATTCTTTGGGTGTAATGTAAAAATCCTTATAATCAGGATAAAATTTTGTAAAGACTATATATATATATGTATGTATTTGATTTCAGAGAGGGAGAGAGAGGTAGAGAGAGATAGGAACATCAATGAGTGATCGGCTGCCTCCTGCATACCCCATACTGGGGAATCTGTCCATAGCCTGGGAATGTGTAATTGAACCATGACCTCCTGGTCCATTAGTCTGGTCAACCACTGAGCCACGCCAGCTGGGCTGTAAAGGCTTTTTAACAATTCTTGCTCTTTTTTGCTATCAACATCAACCGCCTGTAATTTTCTACCCTATCTCATCTGTTCCCACATTTATAAAGCATAAGGTGAAATACTTTGGGCAACCAATATTATTCTTGCTAGATATTCACAGGTCCACAGTGAGTCACCTGTCTAGATCCAGATATTTTGTGTAGTAAGCTAACATTTTACCTCTGAGGTAATTTTTATATGTGATTCAGGAAAAAAGTCTTTACATTTATTTCCTTTGGTAACAAGAAGCCATTGGTATGAATGAACTCTCCACACTTGATCAATAAATTTTATGTTAGAATTCAGATTTGTAATAAAAAATGATGACTTATATACTTCTGTCTTTGGCCAGTGTTAGAAAATGCAGTGATCAAAGTTCCTACACATATCATATATACATAATTTTATGATTCTGGTTATCAACCATCAGCTGGACAATTTGCTCTTTATCCTCCAGTGGATTGTTTCAGAACCCTCTCTTCATACTTCAGTTCACTAGACTAGGCCTCAGTGCTTTTCCCACCCTAACATAAGCGCGAGAGAGAGCCCCTTCATTTAAGAGTGTTGTATATTGCAGTCCTTTTCAGGGAAATCCCAGGGTGAGATAGAGTTGTGTTTAGTTGGGAAAAACTACCTGGAAGATTCTAATAAGATGCCCTGGGAAGATATTCCTCCCACTGGGCCTGCTTATATAATATCTGTCTAATCATCCAGATGGGCCAGATAGTGTTACTATGGTAATGGTGGGTATATGTGTGTATCCAAGCCTTGCATGAAATGGATATATCCCATAAAAGGCATCTTTAAGGACACAAAGTACTATTGTCTCTTGTCCCTAGATGATATTTAATGCATATTCAATATGCTTTATTTTATCTGCCTCTTTAACAGTGAGGATGCTATTATTGGCATTACTGTCCAAATATTTATATGTAGCCAGAAGACTACATAGAACTCTTTTCAAGTTATACCTTAGATACCTTCCCTTTTGCAGCTGGGTTACTGCAAGAAATTTCACTGAAACCACAATTAATTGGACGGTTCAGAACAGACTAATAATGATATCAACTGCAGAAAAATGATACAGCCACTTCTACCTCTGGAAGCAGCCAATCTGATCCATATCAAGAATTTCTCTTGGAATGTTGACGTATTTGCTCGTCTTCCCATTATACCTCCCTGTCCGTTTCCTCCACTAGCATATAAATATCTTCACGTCAGTGATCATGTCTTACTCAATTTTATATTTTGATATCTGGAACACAGTAGATGCTTGTTGAATAAACAAATGATTGAATAATACTCCAGGAACCAAAAGTTACTGCCAACAGCCCCTGGGGTCACATGAATCCTTGCTTATATCTAGCATAGAAGAGAAAACTATCTGTGTCCCAACCCAGACTAGTCCTGAGATTCAGGCTAACGGAATTGGCTTAGGTTACATGCCCACTCCTGGCAATTTCATTGGAACCAGAGAAGTAGTGTCAAGAGTCTTCAAAATCATGTGGGTCCCTAGCCAGGAATCAAGAGCTGTTGTAAAGGCGGAAGGAAAACATGATGATGGGAAAGCAACCAACATATGTACGATGTCATTGTACTTAGCATCTGTACTTTTGATCACTGACATTGTCATGGGTTTAAGGTGCTTCAAAAATAAATTGTTTAGTGGGGGTCACATGTTTTTGCTTAGTCAGATCATACATTTAAGAGAAATTAAATATTAAATTGTTTTTATTTATTTTTTAGAGAATTGTTATGAGTCTATTTGAGCCAAAACTGAAAATTGCCCAGGAAGCAAGATCTCAAATGCCCCCTTAAGTTGTTTTTAAAGATTACAATTAAAAATCTGGCCTAAAGGTGTTACATACAACACAGGTAAATTATTCATTGCTATACATCTTTAGGAAAAAAATAATTGCATATTTTTTAAAAGTTTTTGTAAAGTTACAAAAATTCCCTACAAGAAAGATTTGAGGTAGATATCACTGGTGATGCTGTGACAATATTCCCATTGATAAACTGGGAATCCATGCCCAATTGTGGTGTGTACCACCTTTTCTGGAACACTAGCATTGGGTTCAATCCAGTCTCTCTAGCATTGTACCTTCCCTTTGTCAAGGATTCTTAGGAACTTAGATGACCAGGCTGCCCACGTTTTCACACTTGTACATTAAACTTTTGGAGAAACCCAGAAATCCATCAGATCTTTGAAACCTGTCCAGAAGAAAAAGTTGATTCTAAAGTGGGTTGGTTTGGAAAATCCTCAAGCTACCGGCTTGTGTTAGAAATTGAGGAACTTGATGGCATTAGGCACTTGCCTGGTTCTATGCGATGTCTGCAAATAGACCTTTGGCCCAACTGTTGTCTCCTCCAAAAGTCAACATGGTCTTCTAGGGACCATGGAGAGGTGGGATTGAAGACCTGGAAGGTTGGCTTGCTAAATAGAAAAGTAGTCACAGCAGCGTTCTCTGGAATGGAATTTGCTGGATTCATATACTTCTTTAAGTACATAGTTATCAGATTATTGGTGAGCTGTTGATTGTCAACCCAGCTTAAATCCATTATATCTTACCCTGTTGCCTTCATAAAAGAAGCCTAATTTTTTCAAGTGTCCAGCCTTCTCTCAAAGACCCTCTGTGGCTTGGGGGATACCTTCACCAACTCTGCAGATAGATCTTGATCAGTAACCCAATCAGGAGAGCCCATATTTCTTACCAGTTGCTTCAGAAATCCGGAAAGATTGGGATATGCCCAAAGGACACACAAGTCAATAAACTCCGCATGAAAGGGCTCCCACTGGCCTAATCTGGCAGAATTTGAGTATCAAAAAGAATAAGATGGTACCTGTGAATTAAAAAAAAAGAATCCAAATCCATAGGGATTCTTGAAAAAAGTGGGGGGCGAAGGAGGGTGCAGGGAAAGTTAGCTGTTCTTTACAGAAAAATGCCAACTAAAAATTTAGAAGGAAGGCATAATTTTGCAACCACCAAATGTAACAATTAAGTGAGGCATTTTCACCACTAGGTGCAAAGTTGTTGGGAAGGGAAATATTCACGTTTTTAAAATTACATCTTAATTAAAAGGAGGGAATGGTATTTTACATGGATAAATCTGACAGATACCACCAACCAGGTGGTCACAATTAGCATTGCCAGTAACAGGACAATCTAATATTCCTCCTCATATCATGGATATCATTGGAAGTATGTGCACTATTTTTGCCCAAATGTTTACACTGAATCTAATCATGAGGAAATAAGACAAATCGGGGTTGTGGGACATTCTATGAAACAATCTTCAAAAATATCAATGTCATCGAAAGCAAACACAGGCAGGGGATTGTAAAGAAAACGAAAGAGACATGTCAACCAAATGTAATTCCTAATCTACGACTGGATACTGATTAAACATAAAAAAAACCCTCTAAAAGACGTTTGGGGGATAATTAGGTATATTTGAATATGGACTTCTTTTTTTTAAAAAAATAAATTTCAGGGGGGGGTTTTGTTTGTTTTGTTTGTTTTTTAAATATATTTTATTGATTTTTTATAGAGAGGAAGGGAGAGAGATAGAGAGTT